GGTTCAGGGTTTTGGGTGTGGGGCTTGGGGTCCAGGGTTCAGAGTTTAGGGAGTAGTTGGGCCGTTAGGTCATGAGGCTTATCAGGAGTACTCATAACTTCTAACTTCTACCTACCCCACAGCTACCTTACTACGCGTACCCTGCAGTTCAATAGTCCCCTGATACCCGAAACCCTAAATCCTAAAATCCTGAAACCCAAAAGCCCTAAATCCTAAACCCTAAACCCCAGACACTAAACCCTAAACCCTAAACCCCTAAACCCTAAACCCCCTGACCCTAAAACCCTTAACCCCTAAAACCCTTCAAAGGAAAGCCCGAAGAAGAATGCCACGAGAGGCCGTAGCTCTGAAGCTCCAGCGCCGGGGCGATGCCGTTTCCGCGACGTCCGGGGGCTGCAGGGCTTTGAGGGCTTCGGGGTTTAAGGTTTAGGGTTTTAGGGCGTAGGGTTTTAGGGTTTTAGGGTGTAGGGTTTAGGGTGTTGAGGTTCACAAGTTCTAAGGTTTGGGTTTAGGGTTTAGGGCTCTAAGCCCCCAAAAGCCCTAAACCTTAAAACCCCAAGACCCTAAACCTTTAAAACTGTTGAGGCTTAAAACCCAAAGCCCTAAAACCCTAAGCTCTAAAACTTTGAACCCTGAAACCTTAAAGAAAGTTTGACGAGACCCCCAAGCCTCAGACGAGGCAACTCACCCGCTTCCTTGACCTCGTGGGCGGTGCGAAGCCGAAAGCCCCCGAGCAGAAGGAGGCAGGGCCCCTCCTACGTCCTACGGTGTCGGATTGAAGGTTTGGGGTTGAGGGCTTAAAGTCTAGGGAGCTTCGGGTGTTTAGGGTTTAGTCTAGGGTTTAGGGGATAGGGACACATGAGTTTTGCAAGGCTGTTTTGGGGTTTTGGTAAGGGTTCTACCAAGGTTTCATGAGGGTTTGTAGGGGGTTGCGAAGTCTCTCGGTTCAGAGTCGTTGCGGGCTTTGGACCTTGGAGGTTGGGATGTAGGTTTAGGGTGGAGGGTCTAGGGTTTAGGGTTTAGGGTTTAGGGTCTAGGGGTAAGGGTTAGGGGTTTGGGTTTAGGGTCCACCTTTAAGGGTTAAGGGTTTAGGGTTCAGGGTCCCGAACTCGAAGCCTTAGACCCTAGACCCTAAACGCCGGACCCTAAGTTTTTATGGCGCGTCCCGGGGGAGCATAGCACCCCGGAGTCGGGGAATGGGGTTTGGGGTTTAGAGCTTTAGGGCTTCAGTGTTTATGGTTTAGGGTTTAGATTTAAACCCTAAACCCTAACCCTAAACCCTAAACCCTAAACCCTAAACCCTAAACCGATTTAAATGAAGGAAGCTTACGGATAATAACTTCAAGGATATCGAGGCTGCAGGGCTCGCTGGGCCCCTCGGACCTTCTGTAAAAGGCTATGCCTCGTTTAGGGTTTAGGGGTTTAGGGTTTAGGGTTTAGGGGTTTAGGGTTTAGGGGTTTAGGGTTTAGGGTTTAGGTTTTAGGGTTTAGGGTTTAGGGTTTAGGGTTTAGGGTATGCAGGTTTTGTATAGCCCCATTTCACACCTGTACTAAGCCCATGAAAGCCCGTATAAACCCCCTTCGCCCTTCTAAACTTCGCTGGGCTCTCGCACTCTACAACTCACCGAGCCCCTTACAATTTTCTTTTAAATCTCTGCTAGCATCCTTACGAAACCCAAGAGAACTCTTCAAAACCCGTAGAAACTTCTAGACTTATGGACCCTTTACAGACCCCTTGTCTCTCCGGGGCTCACATACCCCTAAACCCTAAACCCCAAACCCTAAATCCTAAACCCTAAAACCCTAAAGCCCTAAAACCCTAAAGCCCTAAAGCCCTAAAGCCCTAGCCCTGCAAAGCAGCCTCAGGGGGTGATGGTCGTCGCGCCTGCTGGTGGCTACCAGGCTGCCCAGGCTCGTGCTCAGCTTTGGGTTCCTGCAAGCCGATCATAGCTGCGGACTCGGGTTTTTGGGGTTTAGAGTTTAGGGATTTAGGGTTTTTGGGGTTTAGAGTTTTGGGTTTAGGGGTTTGGGGTTTAGAGTTTAGGACTTGGGGTTTCGGGGTTTCTAGTTGAAAGTTTTGGGGATAAGTCATCTTGGGAGTCTTCTGTTGTGTTGTGCTTCGTTGTGGTTTTGGTGCATGGAGCCAGCGTAAGTCGCGCCCAACCCTGAATGCCTAAACCCTCCTATGTTCGACACCAAACCCGAAACCCAAAGCCTGAAGCCCCCTAAATCGACGGACATCCAAAACCTGAAACCCTGAATTGGACCCTCAACCCTAAACCCTTAACCCAAAATCCTAAACCCTAAACCCAAAGCCCTAAACCCCAAGCCCTAAACCCAAAGCCCTAAACCCCAAGCCCTAAACGCTAAAGCCCTAAACCCCAAACCCCAACTCGCCGGGAATTCGAGAAGCCAAAAAGCTTTACATCCGAGGTCCGTCCGCCCGAACGGTAGAAGCGAGCCTCTGAGGGTTTAGGGTTTAGGTTTAAGTGTTAAGGGTTTAAGGTTTAGGGTCCCTTGGGTTTCGTGTAGGGTTCCCTTTTAAGGGTTCCAGAAGGGCTCTCTAGGGGTGAAGTTTAGGGGTTAAGGTTATTGTAAGAGTTGTATAGGTGGGTGCTACAGGGTGCAGGGTTTTTGCATTTTGGTGGGTGTCGGGTCTAGGCTTTGGGGTCCCTAGGCCATGAAAGCGCATACGCCCTATTTCCTCAGCCACCCCAACTCGTTTAAATGCCATGACTCTTACAAACCTTGTAGCTCCAGGGTTAAGTAAACCGAATGTCCAAAGCCTAAACCATTTTGCCCTCTCTTGCTTTTGCATCCCTAAGCCTTCACGAGAAGCAGGACTTTGCTGCCCGAGCAGCCGAGCGATGGCAGGAGGAGCCATGGTGTCGGTGCACTGTTCTTGTCAACCCTAAACCCTGAACCCTACACCCGAAAACCTACACCCGAAACCCTAAACCCTACACCCTAAGCCTTACACCTGTAAACCCCACACCCTAAGCCCCACACCCTAAACCCTAGACCCTACACCCAAAGCCCTACACCCCAGATCCTAAACCCTACACCCTAAACCCTACACCCTAAACTCCTAAGCCCTAAACCTGACACCCTGAACTCTACCTTAACCTACCATAACCCAGTTTTTTGTAGGTTCTTATTATAACCCCTAATATGGGATTTATAGGGACCCTACAAAAAAGTAGGTTCTGGTAGGTTAAGGTAGAGTTTGGGAGTTGGGGGTTCGGGCTCAGGTCTGGGGTTTGTGGTTCTCCAGGCTTGCGCCTTGGGGTTTAGGGGGTTTAGGGTTTTGTGTTTCTCCGGGTTTTCCGATTTCTGGGTTTCAGTTTGGCGGCTTGGGGTTTGGGCTGGAGGGTGTGTATGCAGTGTGCGCGCGGTGGGTGCGCCTTTTGCTTATAGGGGCACCCACTTATCGCGCGCTTGCGTCAGCATGTAATCCCGCCCCAACCATTCCAACTATTCTCAATTGGGCTTTAGGGTTCACCCCCCAAACCCCCGCACGGGGGGCTTTCTTGCTCTCTGCTTCCCTTCGCAGTTCGACACATGAACGACCACATTCCACCGCAAACCACAGCTGAGATGGATTGGTGTCGGGTTGTGGGTCCTCGCGGCCTGTGCCGGCTGCTCGACGAGAAGCACGGGTTACCAACAAACAACCCGCCCCTCGCACCCAGTCAGCTTGCTCAAAGTGTATCCTAAAGGTCGCCCCGTAGGACCGGCCCAAGAGGCCCAGGTCCCTGCAAGTTTGCCAGCTGAAAGTTGCATTCTTAAGAGTTGCTGGAATCTGCCGGCCTGGGGCCCGCCTGCAACCCCCCAGGCCAGAAACCATTCGGCTGGTCGTGGGTTTGGGATTATACTTGGCTGACGCAGCCCGTACTGTGCAAGGCGTAGCCGAGTCATTTCCGTCCACGTCTACTGGGAGGCTTTGCCCTCCCTCACCGTTATGTCGTGACGCTCGGCCGGGGGCCTCAATCGAAGCCTCGCCCATGCAAACGGTCAGCGGCGCTTTCGGCAGTTTTTTCAAGGCTTAGTATTTAGCAGAGGGGTTTAAGGGTTTAGGGTTTTAGGGTTTAGGGTTGAGGGTTTAGGGTTTAGGATTGAGGGGTTTAAGGGTTTAGGGTTGAGGGCTTTAGGGTTTACGGTTGAGGAGGTGTTTAGGGTTTAGGGGTTTTGGGTTGGGGTTTGCTTTTGGGGCAGCTGTCCTTCAAGTGCCCAGCAGGAAGTGTGCGGCAGTAATTTCCCTACTCACATCTTGAGGGCTCTCTCAAAACTTCATATTATTGTATTCTCGTACTCATGGGTGCGATTGTAGGATTGCAAGCAGACGGGGGGGTAGTGCACGGTAGTTTGTGTGTGGATACGCTGGGTGCGGACAAGAGCCCCCAAAGCCTTCAACCTAAGAAGGCATTTGTCTAACCTTAAACACTGAACCCAAAGCTCTAAACCTTCAAAGGCATCAGATGCTCCTCTTTCGACGGACTTGGACCCCAGAGCCTTTCAAAGCAAAACCAAGAGACGCTTCGCATCTCCCAGCCGGGCTTGGTTGAGGCTTGCAAACGAATCACGAGACGAACCCACTGCAATGAGGCATGAAAGCTTAAATCAAGCCTCCTAAACCCTTGTCCAGGTCTACGCACCCTGACAACTTGATGGGGCAAGGCGAATTAGAAGAACCCCGAAGCGCCAGCCCCCGGCCCCTGGGCTCCCTGCTGCCTATCGGAGGAATCCACTGCCGCTTCGGTGCGCTTGGAGCGGGCCATTCATCAGGCAAGGGAGCTTGGAACTTACCCGCAACTGTAAGCTAAATGCACTTTGAGTCCTCGGCAGTGTTGTCGCCCTGTTATGGACCCTAGCCCTAGACCCCAAACCCTAAGCTCCTCATCATGCGAGCTCTTCCTATAGGCGCGGGAGTAGGTCTGTATCGCACCGTACAGCTATTGCAAGCTATCGTGCTTTTTTGGTTTTCTTGGCATTGCTCATTGCATGTGTAGTTCTTCGCACTCAAATTTTAAGTGGCAGCGTTTCGGGTATCTGATGACTCTGGGGCGGAGGCTCTTGGTCAGGCAAGCCTGGTCTGCCACTTCTGGTCGTGATGAACGTCCTGTATGTAACCCAAGCCTCATCATTGAAGCCCTTCGGCTTCAACCAGCCACGAGTGAGAACTGGTAGATTATGAGAGTCTCGAGTGCAGAGGCCAGAAAATGGAGGAGCCCGGATAAAGTCTTCAAGTGGTCGGGCTCTTGTAGCTGCTCTTAGACAGAGAATTGCCTCGGTCGCTGAAGCACACTCTACTCTGAACCTCGACTCGAAAGCCAAACCCGACAGCCTAGAACCCCAAGCCCGAACATTCGAATCCTAAGCCTTGAGCCCTCAAGCTTAAACCCTGCCACCGTAAGCACCAGAACCCCTCAAGAGCCAACCGGACACACCCTACCCGAAACCAATCCGAGAATCCATCGTGCACTCTTCCACAGGACGAGCCCATGGAGATCGAGCCACCCGGTTTAGGGTTTAGGGCTTAGGATTCCCTACTACTCGTACGTTTCATAGCTCCGGGTTATGGGTTGCCTGAAAATGAAACACAACCCATTTACCAAGTCCCCTGGCCCTGCATCTAGAGGTCTGTAGGGTTGAGGATTGAGCGTGTGATGGCCTTCTTGTGGTTCTGCTTGCCTCGCCTAGCGCATCTATGTGGTCGTGACTGGCAACATCGTTATCGCTGTAGTCTTCGACTGTACCTTCGCGAATCTTCGCACAAGAGTCGAGAAAGCGACGGTTGCACTGACAGTGGTGTAGTGATTTTGATACCGCAGCCCTAAGCCGCCTAATTCTTAAATTCCCTGAACTCCCTCAAGCCTAAACTCTGCAAAAACCCGTCTCTCTAGGATGCGATGTAGCGGAATAGAGGGAAAAGGGCCCTAAACCCTAAACCCCTAAACCCTGAAAAGGGGCTCAAAAGAACAGAAAGCTCTAGAAAACCCAGCTCTTCAGGCCGGACTCTTGGCCCAAAGACCTCCAAAATCCCCAGCCTTTCCTTATCATTGCTCAACCCTCAGCCCCCAAACCCCAAACCCTCAACCCTCAACCCTAAACCCTCAACCCAGAACCCTCAAGCCAAACCCGAAACCCTAAACCCTAAACCCTCAACCCGGAACCCTAAACCCTGAACCCTAAACCCTAAACCCTGAACCCTCAACCCTCAACCCCAAACCCTAAACCCTCAACCCCAACCCTAAACCCTGAACCCTAAACCTTCACCTCATCCAAGGAAGGCGCTGCACAATCTGATCTCCAAGATGCGGCGCCGGGGGACCCGGAGCCAGGTTTCAGGAGGAGCTTTCAGGGCTCTCAAAAAAGGGGTTCTATAAGGGTTCCCTCACAGGGTTCCCTTATTCTGTAAGGGTCCCTTTCCCTTACAGGGTTGCCTTATTCTGTAAGGGTTCCCTAATAGGGTTTGGTAAGGATTCCCTTAAAGGGTTCCCTAATTCTGTAAGGGTTCCCTAATAGGGTTTTGTAAGGGTTCCCTTAAAGGTTCTATAAGGGTACCTTAGGGCTTCAAAACGGGTTCCAGGAGTTTGTTTTGGGCCTTTTTGAGATCGGTCTTTCGGCTGGGTTCTACAAGGTCTCCACAAGGGCAGAAGGTTTGAGGCCTAAGGGTTTGGGAGGTCTGAGTATTCCCTAAGCTGCCCTAAGCCCTATACACCGGTAACCCTGAAGCCTAAACCCTAAACCCTAAACCCTAAACCCTAAACCCTACCCCCGTAACCCGAAACCCTGCAAGCCCCAAACCCCCGAACATCTAAGCCCCGAAGCCTTCAAGCCATGAAGCGTCTAGAAGCCTTGTAAAGCGTTGCACAAGCTCCTGAAAAAGCTAACGAACCCGAAGCCCAAAGCCAAACTCTAGAAGTCCAGATTCACAACGCACCGGCGAATGTCCCTCAACCCCTCCAAACCCTAAACCCCCCCCCTAAACCCTAAACCCTAAACCCTAAACCCTAATCCCTAAACCCCGAAAAACAACCCAAACCCCAAACACTAAACCTCCCGCAAGGTAAAGACATGAACTGGCGCAGTGTGGAGGAGGCCGGCGTCGGCCAGCTGCTCCGTGCCTCGGCCGACTCAGAGAACCACGGTTTAGGGTTTAGGGTTTAGTGTTTAGGGGCTTATGGTTTAGGGTTTAGTGTTTAGGGGTTTAGGGTTTAGGGGTTTACGGTTTAGGGTTTGGGGCTTATGGTTTAGGGGTTTAGGGTTTAGGATTTGGGGTTTAGTGTTTTGGGGTTTAGGGTTTAGGAATTGGGGTTTGGGGTTTAGGGTTTAGGGTTTAGGGTTTATTGTCGGAAAGTGATGGGTAATACACTGATTCTTATCAGGGTTTTAGTGCGGATGCGGTTGCATTGCGTTTTCACCTCCAAAGCGTCATGAGCCTGGCTTGGGTTTCATGGTTCGGGGTCTCGGATCCGTTGGCTTGCCAGTTCGTTGGCTAGCTTTTGGGGTTCGAGGGGCAAGGGTTGTTTTGCCTGCAGCTCATTAGCACTACTGACTATGGCTCTCCTATAGCGTCTCGCTGATAGACTCTGAATATGATTCCCACTGCCACTATGGTCATTACCCTTGACTGAGCCCCAAATACCCAAAACCCTGAACCTGAAAGCCGAGAAACCTAAACCACCACGCCCTAACCTCAAACCCTCAACCTTCAACCAGAAATCCTCACACCCTCAGTTCAAGCCCTCAAGCCTGAAGCCCTAAACCCTAAACCCTGAACCATAAACCCTCAAGCCCTAGCCGCAAACCCTACACCTACAACCAGAAATCCTCAAACCCTAAACCCCAAAGGCTACACCCTACACCAAGAACTCTGAAGCAGACATCCTCCTTAAAGGATCATGGGACTTAGTAACTAAGGCTATTACTAGGGTAACTATACTTGTATCTAGTTATACCCCCACTTATATCTATACATACTAAGTCCCATGATCCCCCAAGTATGCCTTCCCTAAACCCTAAACCCTAAACCCAAAACCCTAAACCCTAATCCCTCAAGCTCTACACTGTCAAGGACAGCTGACCAGCTTTGAAGGAGACGGCGAGATTCCGAAGTTAGCTCGCAAGGCGGTCTTGGAGGCCGGACCCTAAACTCGAAGCCCTATACCCTAAACCCTAAACCCTAAACCCTAAACCCTAAACCCGGAACCCTAGACTAAAGACCTAACTGGGAGGGTTTAGGGTTTGGGGTTAAAGGTGTTTACGTACCTTAGACCAGATGAAGGATCCACTTATAATTCAAGGCATGTTCCTCTTTAAGTTGGGGGGTCTTGGAGGCCGAATCGTAGCCGGGCGCCCTGCATAACTTAAGCTGCTTTGCATGAAAGATATCCCGAAGTCATAATAGCAAGTCCTAACCAATTTAAGGTGTACTTGCATAGCATCAAGATCTCCAGAAGTCACAACCATAAACAAATGCTAATTGATTAGTTGGAGGTGTATTCCTTCGTGAAGGGTTGACTTGGGCTGCCAAGCTTGCGACCTGCCCCAGCATCATGTCGTGTGCTGTTTGTCAACCTTCTTGCTAAGGAGGGTGCTTTAAGCTACTCACGATGATGAGAGTGCATCACGTAGTACACCTAAATCCATACATCATGTTACCACAAAAAGGCGAGTGCATGAATCTTCTAGGCATGTATCCCTACACGCAGTAACGAAGGCGGTTACCATCACGAGCAGTACAAAACGCATCAGTGCTGTCATAACCACTATTGATGCAACCACAGTCATCATCTTCATCCTCGTCACCAGCAACACACTAGTAATCACAGTCATATCAATACTCATCATCACCAGCATCATAGCATCATCATCAGTAGCATCAGCATCATCACCATCATCACCATCATCACCATCATCACCATCATCATCATCATCATCACCATCACCATCATCATCTCCATCCTCATCATCTAGGTCCTCAATCTCCTCCTCCTCCTCCTCCGCATCACACTAGTCGCCACGAGATGTCTGCAGAATCATAGCTCAAAGCCTCAAAACCGTGAAGCCTGCGGTGTTTACGTTGTGGTGAGAGCTTCGGGTTTGGGAAACACAAGAACGGGGGGCCTGTATACCTGACACTCATACTGTGAACTATGCCCGTATGCCGGATAGTATCTTAATGTCCTTATGTACATGTGCTATACAATGCCCCCAAACCTCCACTGATCCTCCCAAAAATCTGAGCCTTCAAACCCCTAAGCCTTCAAACCCTGCAGCTCTGAAGCCTGAATCCTAAACCCTACACCCTGAACCCTACGCCCTAAACACAAACCCTGCACGCTTAGATCTAAAGCCATGAACCCCAACAGGTCACAAAGCTGCAGCACGCCGACTTCTAGAGAAGCGGTGAAGCATTGACTGGGCCCACCTGCGCAAGTTCTTCCCGTGAGAAAACAGCTGTCACAAGGGCATGAAGCTGAGGTTGAGGGTTCGGGAAAGGGATGGGCTTATAACCAAGTAAACATCTACAGTGGATTTCATGAGCATCAACAGAAACAGTGCTTTCCTTCGTTTGCAAGTTGACATGCATGCATGCCTGAGTATATATGGCAGTATATACATACAGACACAGGAGTTAACAAGAACCGCAGGTTGCAACCCTCAGTACAGATGCCGAAGGCTCTCTGACACAAAGCCTACAGTGTTCGCCCTAAACCCTAAACCCTAAACCCTAAACCCTTGCTGGATACGTCAAAGACGATCTATTGGGCCTGAGGGATTGCGACCCGGCGCGGCTCTGAAATACCTCCATTTGGTGGCAGGACGTTATGACTTCAGGAGTCTGGACATGAGTGACGAAATCACGGAAAGAGAGGGCCCCGTACGTGATCAAGTGGCATACGATGGTAACCGCTGGACCATAGCTGAGTTCGAGTCAATTGTGGAAGATACTTTTGAGAAACAGTTGCCCTCCATGGTACGAGGATTGAGGAGATATGGGAATCTGAAAAAGAATGACCTTCCAGGTCTTGCTTCGAAATTCGTCACTGAAGGGTTTGCAGAGAGCTCAGAAAGAATGGCCATACATGATTCCGAAGGCTGGGAGATCAAATCCTCGCAAAGGAAAAGCTTATGGGTTGCCGCTCAGAGACGTGTTGATTTCGAGGAAATGTTTGCTCGTGGAGAAGCCAATTGCGTGAAGAAAGCACTGAAGAAATTGGAACCGGCCAGACTGCGTCTGCTACAGGCCAGTCCTGTGAAACATTGGTTTCGTGAGGCTTTGCCTATGCTGGCAGAGTCTGATTTCTTCAAGGACATGGCATATGCGCCGTTGGAGAAAGATGCGGTTGAGACGATGCTAAGGATGGCAAAAAGGTCAAACGACCTTGCAGCTCTGGCTGCCTCAGGCGGGCGGAGCAGAAGCGCACAATGATTATGATAACTTCAACATCCTGCATACGATGGAAAGGATGAGGAGGATATGGTTGTGGGTAGCAAAAGCATTGGAACCGACGCGGACTTGCATCAACAGCGAGGACTGGGCGTCAATGTCCATAGTGGAACTAGCTGCGATGTCCGCGCGCTGGGCTGCGGCTGCCACTTACCACGTCTACGGAGCAGCCCCAACGTGGGACTATTTTTTGTCCACGAAATCCTTGGTTTGTGGTCAGGCTGGAGAACCACCCAAGTTTTTAATACAGGATTCAACGAATCCTACGGCCGGGCAGTGATGATTTCATGTCGCCGGGCCTACCCGAAAGAAGCAAAATTCAACCCCCGTTCCCATGAGGGACAAGGAGACGATGGGCGCGCCGCCCTCGAATCCGAGTGGGAGGCACTAGTCTTCTTCTGCGGCGCTTTCGAAGATATGAACATGCCGTCGAATCCTTCGAAGCAGCTAGTCGAAGACAAGCAGGGCGAGTTTTTGCGAATCATTTACAGAGAGGGCTGGAGCTTAGCGGGCTCCTTGACCCGCGCTGTTTGTAATGGAGCTAGCGGCGACTTGCAGGGATCGGAAACGGATGTCGGCCCAAACATGGCTCAAGGCCTCAACGAACAGATGAACTTATTCATCCGCAGGGGGGCTTCAGTGGCAGCGGTGGAGGCAATACGCTACATTATGCTGCATTACTGGGTCAGATTGGGTGAATATCATGAATCAGGCGTGATAGGGAAGAGCACCCCTGTATGCGATGAGATTCTCAGAGGGCATCCGATGGATGGTGGCTTGGGCTGTGTGAGATTTGGTGAGTATCCACATAGGTTGGAGCCTGTATTCAAGGCACCAATACCATCCACTAGGAAGGTGGCTTTGGACATTGCAAAAGGGAATGACTTCGAGAGCTCGGAGCATGCGACAAAGATGATGAGTGATGTCTTTGCTGTTGCTGGCCTAAGAATCAAGAACAAGGCCAGGGTGAAGAGAGAGCTAACAGGCGCGGTCATTGAGACGTCGCTGCCAAGAGAAATGAAGATGCGAGCTAGGAAATTGTTCCACTACAATTGGCTGAAAAACATGCGCAAGTGGCAGAGCATGGGAATTATAAGGGAAGAAGATCCCAAGGCCGATGTGGAAGAGCTCATACAAGTTTCACAAATAGCTCCTGCAGTGAGTGAGTCCTACTCAGCCCTGACGGCTGAAGATGCGGCTTACTTTTCTGAGATGCCAGTTTGCTCTGAAGGAGCCAGGTTGGCAGAGTCGATGGTTGCGGACCTCATATCTGCCGCGGCTCCACAGTTGCAGTTGTTGGATTGGCAGTCTTTGGGGTCCAACGGGAGATGGACTTTGAGGGGGCAACGAAAGGGTCTTCTGTGGGACAAGAACAAGTTGAGGAATGTGTTGCTGTCGGTGACTCCTTGCCGGACTCTATCAAGGGCGAAGATGTCGAAGGTGGCAGTGAGGACATCGGCTGACGAAGACTGAGGGCAAAGAGGGTGATGAGGGTGGCTCCTGATGCATGGCGGTGATGTTACCCTAAGTTCGTTTGAGTCGGGCCGTAAGTGCCTGGACAGCCTGGCCGAATGGGCTTCCTGACGGTGGATTGCTAGAGAGAAAAGGGCCTTCAAAAGGGCCTTCAAAAAAAACACCCTAACCCTTTCTAAGCTCGAGAGGCAGCCTTAGAGTTGAGGGTTTGGTTTAGGGCTTTGGGGTTTAGAGTTTAGCGTTTAGGGTTTAGGGTTTAGGGTTTAGGGCTTTGGGGTCGATCCAGAAAAAATTCCACACTCTACATCCTCTAAACCCTGCGCCCTGTGGCCTCAACCTCAAAAGCCCATCCCCTGCGACCTAAACCCGAAACCCGAAGCCCAATACCTAAACACCGCCAAAGCATGAAACCGAAATCACATTTGCAGAAAGTTCTAGACCCCGCCATCGTCACGACACGAAGCCAGAACCACGAAGCCTTTAAAACATTTGCAAAGAACTCGATGGCCACCCTAAGGCCTACATGCATCCTTATAAAAAAAGCCCATTCTACGGCACCCTACCAAGCATCCCCCCCCATATGCAAGCTTCTTGACACTGTAACCGTAGAGCCAGAAACTCTGGCCCATGAACCCTTAACTCTATATCCCAAGCCCTCAAATCCACTATACAGCGCTACGACAGTTACCAAGCCCTGTAATCAAGGCACTCCCGCAACAAGAATCCTGAACTTAACCCTGCACTTAAACCAAAACCCCTAAGCCCTCAAGGTCTGCAGAAGGGCCCCATACGCCCTGAACACCAAAATCCGGTAGACAGTCTTGCCTTCTTAGGGTTCCTTATTACGCTTTCTACATACAATTCCTTAAGAAAAACCTGGTTTTTGGAAACCCTAAGCCCTAAACCCTAAACCCTAAACCCCCACAAGTACCTCTAAGTCCGACAACTCAGCTCCAGGTGGGACCGGGCCATCCGCCAGCTACGGCAGGCCCAGAAGGAAAGCAGTGGGCCCTGACGCGCTTGAGCTGATCTGTCCTTTTGGGTTTTGCGGCTTTTAGAAGGTGTTAGTGGTCCTAGAGCCCTAAACCCTGAACCCTAGATCCTAAACTCCAAACCCAAAACCCTTAAATCTCTAAACCCTAAACCCCTAAGCCCTAAAGCCCTAAGCCCTAGACCCCTAAACCCTAAACCCCTAAACCCTAAACCCCGGAACCCTAAACCCCTAAACCCTAAACCCCTAAACCGTAAACCCCTAAACCGTAAACCCCTAAACCCTAAACCCTAAACCCAGGAGGTTTTCGGGTTTTTTCAGGTTGAGGATTTGAGGTTGTTCAGAGAGAGCCTGGACCCAATACCCTGAGCCCACGGTTTAGGGTTTAGGGTTTCGGGTTTAGGGTTTGGGGTTTAGGCTAAACCCGAAACCCAAAGCCCTAAATCC